AACGAATAAATCACGCGATTGAAATGTAAATGCGAACGAGCTGCGTTGTGGAATTAATATTTTAATTGGATTAATCTATTATCACAATATCCGTGCTCAATACTTGCGGTGGTGGCTCGCCGGCAACGCAAAGTGTGTACACTGGGATGATGATAACCGCTCGCATTAGTGGTATATTGATGCACTGTTTTTTAATCAGCCTGGGGCTTAGCGCATCGCTCAGATGGCTACGAGCGCGGGAGCGGATGCGATAAGGCATGAGGTCGGGGAAAAGTTTTTTTCAGCGAGATAGAGCTGCACAGATAATAAAGGTGCCGATAGGCATGCTCAAATTGAAAGTTGATAATCGTGCAACTATTTAACAATCTCAAATCAAGTAAAAACAAAATAGGATTAAGTTATTTGAAATTCTGAAAAGAAAGTGAACTTTCTGAACTTTCCTGAACCGTAATTTGTATGTGCTGACATTGTGTTTAGAACTTGTGTTGACTTCAAAATCTCTTGAGGCCATTTTGGGATAATGTTGGCCTGATTTCAACGCCCATTTTGTATGTACAATGTCGGTTGCATGCCTATATCTACTGGCACTTACAATTCATTGCCTGAAAGGAACAGCAGATTTCCGTGTTGGTCCCACGCGTTTCAGTTAATGGTGTCATTAGATGTAATTACAGTGTAATGCTACACTTAAGGTCTCTCGAAGACTTAAAAAGAGGAATGTGCGTGACACACCAGTTTATGTTAATAGCTGGAAAGTACTGAGGATATCTGGACATCCACCGTCCAGAGTTAATTTCGTTTTTATAACACCACAAACCCGAATGATCTGTTTACTAGCGGGTCAGTAATAAAAAAGGGGCCGTGGTAGCCATTACGGAGCGAGTAGTCGCGCCGCCCGGCGTCGCCCCCTATCGGGTTGCAAGTGAAACGGATCGTAGGGGGGCGGTGACAGATAACGACCAATATGGCGCTAGTTAATGTCAACCCGATTATGTCATACTAGATTTAAGTATTCGTACTTAAAGCAGGAAAATATGATGACGAGGTGACCGCAGATTAGTGACTCGGCAAATCTGTGTGTCGTTAACTTGATATGGCCTCCGAAGCATTGAACGAGACCAGGCTGCGGAAAATGAAACGGTACTTTGTTTTAATATTATATGCCATTCATAATTTTAATACTACCCTCTAAAATTACAGTGTTACTAAATAATTTAGTAGTAACTTCACTAATTGTCACATACATATTCGCGTGCTAAATTTTTCTAGATTTTAATAATTAATTTTAATTTTAAGTACATTGTCATAACAGCGAAAGATTTTTTGTAGACTTTTTTAATGTAGTTGTTCTTGTCATAATGTTTAATCAAATTAAAACTATATTTTACGTTAACTTTTTCTTTAAGTATAAATTAATGTCGATGGCGTACAATTGAAGACTATTAGCGGAATGTATCTCGATTACATCTTTCATCATATCGACGCTTTCATCATCCATCATATTCGGACATGTTTTCCGACCCGCATTTATTGACTATCGCACTGAGCGATCGCAGTATTATACTGATTACGCCGACTATTTATTCCAGAATTTTCCAAATTTCATTTATGCACCGATTTCAGTTATTGATATTTCCAAAATAAGTGGCATTCTTAGTTTTACAAATACAAGTACATATGCATAATTACTAAATCGTGCACTTCGAACTAAATACGATTTTTTTTAATTTCACACTGACTTCATATGTTTTACATAGGTATTAAATGTAAAAAAAATATATAAAAAAAGAATTATCAACACATTGTAAACCTAAGAAACACAACAGACTTTCTAACTCTACTAAAATACTTTCGAAATTTTTCTTTTAATCAGGTGCGACAACCGAAATACTCAATTTACCTACTTAAATATTAAATGGTTCAGCTAAACCCGCAGGACATTTAAATTGTGATCAAAATCCAGCAGTGTTTTAATCCGCGGGGAAAGGAGCGGACTCGCGCGCCATGATGCCGGTGACACATCCATTATGGTGACATTTTCCCGCCCTTTTTCCTGTCACATTTGACAGCTTGGAAAGCGACTCCTCCTCGCCAATGTTTTTCGCTTGATACTCGTCCAATCCACCCATCAGATTATTGACAACAGAAAAATGCCGTATTTATATTTACATTACATTTCGTAAAGGACGACAAAACATTAATATTCCAACCTACTACGGCTATGGTTGTAGTACCATATTCAAATATTCATGAAATATGGCTGTTTGCATGACTTCTTATTGCTATAAATGCTTACGTATTTTGCGTAATTCATCCAGATGTTCAACATTAGTAAATTCTTTTCAATTTAAACTACGGCTCAAGAATAAACAATAATATTGGCTCATAAACTCTTCAATCGTAACATTTAATCTTCCGTTTGTCCACAATAACCCAGATGTGGCTCGACAGATGGCGTCCTTTGTCTGTGGTGGACTGCACTATCGCTATGAGAGCCGACCAGCCGCGACCCGTTTGATTAAAAATAATTAACGTTTTCCCATCCGCTGTCATAAATATCCACTCAATATCAGCCTTCATAGGCCATACCGCAGACATGCAATAACAACACTTAACAGCCCATTTTTTTAATTTGATTTACCAGCTCGGAAAAGTAGAGAATGAAAAATTTACTGGAACATAGGTAGGTTAGGTACTATAGAACTTTACGTTTAGGACTTGGAAGATTCTTTTTTGCCGTCGCACCAGATATCAGACGGGCGAAGCTGGCGAACTTGATTAATTGCCTAATCAACGCCATCTATTGGCTCTTACATGTCACTCGCACAATCACTCACGGGCCACCGCACAGTGCGGTGGTCCCGCTCCGACACTTTTATTTATAGACGCAATCTTCACAATGCTACCGTGAAAAAGTTGCAACTTGCCGTAGTACACAATTTATTACACTTATTGGGTCTGGATTTACGCTGACGTACACAGGTCATTTTGCACTGTCTCTACTAAGGCCTGATAGAGCGCTTTTAGAATACATTGCGGTTTAGAATTTTTATACACATTTCTTTTTTTTTGTAAATAATGATTTGTGAGTGTGTAACTTATAAATATTTTCATTGTTTCAGGTATGTACGAGTACTTAATGCATTCATAAACTAGTTTAATGGTAATGTATAATAAATAAACTATCATACGAGTAAGATACTAATGATGAAGCTGTTTGTTAGTCGAAAATTGTAGTTTAGTTGCTATTACCCGTATCAATACCTCTGGAGTCAAATAAAAGTCCGGCCGCAGACTTAATTGGTACGCCACGTAGTACGTGCCTACGCTGCAGTAGCTCGCCGACCGGCAGAATTGAAATTCCCGCGAAAATTAATTTCCAAATACGAATATAGCGGTGCGTTTGCAGAGACGGGTGGCGCCAATGAACCGTTCGTAATAAATGTCATTAGAGCACGTGACGTCACTGGAAACATGGCCGCCGCCTCTCCGCATCCAATTATGTCTCAAAACTGCCGGACATAAATTTCAATAACACAATTTGTCACAATTTGCGGCACCACCGAAACTGCCGAGGGCTCTTTGTTTTTTGACTGCGGCAGGTCGTATCGCGGGCCGCGATGTGTGTGCACAGAGAGCTTGAATACCAGCTGATTAAGAGGCGCATCTATTCAATTCAAACCCGCCACAAATAGGGGTGCATTTTTGCAACAAAACTTAACAGAATAAAACTGCAGAGAAACCACGATTAATGTCGTTATGTGAACTTCCTGAATTTTTGGACTATTAGGTGACATTTCTGATATTATTACGATGGTTTTTACATTATACAAAAGCATGATCAATAACTTGTAATTTCCACACGAGTAGGTTAAAAATATCCTTAAAATTAATGGGCAAATAGTTCCAACGAAAACCAAATCTAGTCAAACTTTATAACTTCTAAACAATTTTCGACTAGGAGTACTAGGACTGACGCACAAATTTCCAAAAACGCGTTCCGACTCAAATCTGTCTCAATAATGATGTTGTCGTCCCACGTGGAGGCTGCTCACTCGTCGTGACGGAGGCGTCGCTGCCACCTCGAGAGCTTAAATCACAACCAAGAATTAATCGCCAATGAAAATTTCCGTCGAGCCGTGAAATTACAATTTAAACGTCGCTGTTTATGCCAAGTGTAAGTGCGCGCTTAATTCGCGTATACGGTTATTTTACAACCACCTTGTTTGTATACATTTACATGTGTTGGTGTTGTTATTACACAAATTCGGTTCTATTTCGTGCTTATGAAAGTAGCACAAATCTAAATAAGAGCCACTGGATCAGTTTAATTAAAACTGAAAACTCATTTTGGTCCGTTTGAAAATTAAATTTCAAATATGAAAGAGGGTTAAAAAGCTGAAATGCTGAAAAGCAGAACTATTTATAATATGACTGGAAAAATCTATCTCTACCATAAAATGTCTTCTCAATTATGAAAAGTTTATAATTCATCAGTTTATGTATTAAAACTGAATATTTATATTCAACTTGAAAAAAGCCCGATCGCTCCTAATTAAATTATGTAGTTGGTACTCTATGTAGAGATATAACGTGGCTATCATTCAAGTTAGGTCATCAACCCCTCGGACGGATAGGAAGCCACAATTCGGCGCGACTTACGAGTGCGAAGCCTTATCTAGAACCTTCAGTCTAATGACTCACACGTCATTTATCACTACCAATATAGGATTACACCGCCACGTCAGCATTTTACATACAACTTATGCTGTTACATTTCAATGGTATCTTAATTAACGTATTAGAGTATTAAAAATCAGTATTCATTGATAAGAGGCAGGGCAGACCCTTTAGCAGATGTGTGATTTATCTTTCAAATAGGCATGTAAAGTGCAGCTTTTAATAGGTATGTGCGTAATGCGATATTATCGTGGTATTTATCGGCGCCGCCCCGCGCGCTTATAACCGCCCGCCCGCCGGCGCCGCGGCCTGTGCGCGGCCGGCATTCCCGCGGGTCGGAGCGCCTCTGACGGTATCCACTCGACGGTCGGTCGACCGACCACACCGCCACCGCTCGCCGAACGCCGCGCTCGTATTTCCCGCGCGAAACAAATTCAAATCAAACATTCCATTAATTTGTACGTCTCGCGCCGATAACGCGTTTTATTACTCCATCTTTTATTTTCGTTTTATTTCGCTTCTAATGCAATTGCACTCGAGCAACGCGAACTGTATTATTTTCCGCTGTTATTCTTGTTTTTATTGGTTTTTTGTGCGTTAGTGAAAAGGAAACGAGCTACAGAATGGTAAGTTTTCCTACGCAGCCGTTAATTTTTCATTTTAAATTCATTTTGTCTTATTTCGTCTACAGACACTTTTTTTTTTTAACTTTTGTTCACGAATAAAAATTATAACTTTGTAGAGTCTATAAAATGTATAAATTATACTAATAAGCTATTTTAATTAATTTTATATGATTTTAATTCGACTTTTGTTAACTCTGAAAATAATGTTCTGTTAGTCAATCGACTTTTAAATAAAACAGAATAAAACGTCGGTAGATACTATACAAAAGCATTCTAAATCAGTAGAAAAACACATTAGGACTTTGGATTCACTAGTAACTTCTACACAGATTAGGTATTTTTTTGTAAAGGCATTAAGAATCTTATTTATTTAGCAGTCCACTGGATATAAAACAGCTCGGTTACATCAAAAATGATGGACATTTCCTAGATACCTATTACAGTGGTACATCAATAAAATTTGAGCGTGCGGCGCGCCTCCGGCCTCATGCGCATTGTGAGGCAATCAACAGTAAACATCTATTAGACCATTTAACCTCGTCACAGCGAACGACCTATAAAAATAGATACCGATACACTCACTCAATTGCACGAATAACGCTTGAATACACCACTTGACGGTATGCAAGTTACAAAAGACGTAATGTGTTCGCTATCTTTGAACTTCCCATTGACTAGATTGTCCATTACCATTAATACTGATAAATGAACGATACTTCACCGAAGTAGGGTTCTTTTTTGATCTACCGTCGTGTACCATCGACTTTTGCAAGAGGATCCAGTCTTCTTCTTCAACCAGTCACCAGCTCTACAAATGTAGAGATTTGGTAAATTCCAAATCTTGGTCACCACCCTAAAATGAGTATTTATCCCCCTCTTCTGACAAAAATTGCCTGCTTACTCTCTATGTACTTATTTAACTATCTTTCTACAAGTTTTAACGACTATGCACCTACATTTATTTTCACAATGTAAAATAAAGGCTCGTTTAATAAAATTACAAAATATTACACACTTGTATTTCCTAGGATGTTAATTTAAAATTCTTATTATTCTACTAAAGTAATTTGATAGAGTACAGTGCCTCTACCATGAGTTTACCTACCGAGCATCTCGCTATCGAGGGCGTAAAAAAATGTATGGCAAATTGTACAGCGCCTCTAGCGGTTAGTAGCTGAACCACAGCAAAACTAAAAACACTACCATGAGTTCATCTCAAATCGTTAGGTAAAAAACCTATCTAAATGAATACGATAGCGACTAAAGTTTTTATTAAGTTTCATACAAATAACTTACCATGAGTTGCAATTTTCAAAGATGTCATCGAAAAATACCTTAGCTGTCACAGTAACGTAACTCACTGGCTTATTGACGTGTGAAAAGCAAAATAAAATTGTGGTTTTAGGTCATTTTAGGTGTTTTCTTTATTAAATTATGTCGGAAAGAAGTTTATTACGATGGAACATGTTATCAGCATGTGGGCAGACCTCCCACTAGGTGGACCGACGATCTGGTGAAGGTCGCGGGAAGAACCTGGATGCGGGCACATTGTGGAGATCCTTGGGGGAGGGAGAGGATGCTGCGTTTCCCAGAGATATGCGAGGGAATTGTGTCGTGCGAAGATGTCTAGCTGTGCTGTGAAAATGTGTGCGGGTTTCCACCAAAGCTGTGCGAGGAAAATGTATCGTACGAGGATGTGTAGCAGAGATTTGAAAATGCTCATTAGTGTTGTACAGCCTGAGCCTTTTCTACCAGAGATGTGCTGACCGAGGCGAGGTAAATGAAGCGATTCTATTGGTTCTTTACAAACACATCCTTCGCTACGCATCCTCGCACATCTCTGGTGGAAACGCAGCCTTACGAGATCATGATAGAAAGCTAATCCGACAATGAATATGTATTTTCATAAGTTGAAATTTACTTTTGTTTTTAATCAGTCTGTGTATTATGTACCTATTAGGTTTTGTGAAATAAATAGTCAATAAAAATTAATCATTTTATTTTCAACTAGCTTTTGCCCGCGGCTTCGTCCGCGTGAAATTTAGTTTGTCACAGATCGTCATAATTATAGCCTATATGTTAATCTGGGTTATAAACAATAATACTGTAAAGTTTCATCAAAATCCGTTCAGTAGTTTTTGCGTGAAAGAGTAACAAACATCCAGACATCCAAACTTTCGCATTTTTAATATTAAGTAGGATATTAGTAGGATATGTATTTACTTAATTATTATTACTGACGAGATTGCTACCATGTATGTTTAGTGACCATGAAAGATTAAAACAATATAATGTATTTAATTAATTATAATATCTTAAGTTTTACAATAATAAGGTAGGTATATCCATCCAGTTACCCTAGGTCTTTATTATGGATTTAATTTACAAGTAGTTATTTACAAGCACTCTGCTCTAAATCCTTTGGCTTCAGGGAAGAACCTGGACCGCCACCAGTCCAGTGTTCCCTTGGCAGCTCTGTGTATGCGAGTTGCCTTCTTCTTGCTGTTTAAAGTCACTCCACACCTTAACAAATAAACATTACAAATAATAATGACGAAATAAGATAAAAGCAATCAAAATGAATAAAGTAGTAGGTATTTATACACACTTTTCTCAATTTCTCAGTAGTTTTCGTGTCGCCGGTGGCATCAGCATTTCACGTTCGCGTGTCCGTTAGTTCCACCCACCGTTGACTATTGTTGGCTCTTTCTTGGGGCCCTTCAGTGGGCATACTCAGATCGCCATATCTATAGAAAAACAACTTTATTGTATCTAGAAAATATAAATCTAGCACTCATATTACTGAATTTTAGCTAGGCACGTGGAAGTTATGCTGGAAAGGTTGTATTTCTCCAAAAAAACCAGCTCAAAATTATTCGTTTAATTTCGAAATTCCTCCACTACATAGTATGTTTATTTTTACTTAACTTACCTTTCCATAAATTCTACAATCGGTTTAAACGGATAGGCGCAGTTTCTCATTTTCCTATCGTGGTTAAAATCCAATTTTTTGTGGAAAATTATTCATCAATAATCCTTCAACAAAACATGTTTTGTTATCTGTTGTCATGACAACAGCTGCGTCAAAGTCGCAATGACAAGAAATAAACAATACAAATTTAAAATGATCATGTTAATTCAGCTTTAAGCACTGTTCTAGGACACTTAAATTTTGCAGTGTTATTTTTGACATTTTTGTTATTTCCTACTCTATCTTTTCTATATAGTTAGAAAGGAGCGGCATTCGTTCTTTCATTCATCCATTCATAGAGTGTGAAGTTGGATACGTTAACATGCTCACCAACATTACATCACAAAACCATCGAATTATCGCTGGCGAGTAAAGTATACGGTAATTGAACTCATGGTATGATTTTAATGTAAACTTCATCGATCCACGTTTAAACTCTATCGACTGTAGTATACGAATACAAGTTTTCGATGGCAACTCATGGTAGAGGCACAGTTGTTACCAAAATTCCGAGTATAGTCATCCAAACAGTATTATCACAGTTTGAATAGCTTCCTTAATGGACGGCTCCGAACTATGCAACGTGACTAAGCTCATTGTTTCTGTTACGTCGGAGTAAAAAATCATTGGAGTTATCGATTGGAGCCAGCTCCAGCGATAGCAGTGATAAGATAGTTTATCTCTTCCCGCCCCATCCCGCGTAGGGCTACCGACTGAGAGAGAAAGGAGCCTTTATCTTTTATTAAAATATACCATAATTTGGAAACATTGCATTTATAATATTGTTTATCTAGAAATAATTTATTCTACTGTTAGGAATTAATCCTCTTTCGATTATCAGGCTACTTACTTTGTAGTTTTCCTCTAAGTCTAAGCTACCCATACAAATCACTTGATAATATTTGAAGGAAATTATATTATTACAGAGTTTAATACACCCGCCCGGTTAGTACGATAAAGGATAAAGAAAGCATGTTTTAATATGAAAATCAAAATAATTAACTAAGTGTATTTTCTATTTAATTTTATTCTTATAAAGAGTCCGGTCCTTTCACTACTCCTGATTTTGTTAGTGCTTTTTAGTGCCGGTATCCCTAATCCCGCGTCACCCCGTCATCCTCAACACGGAAAAAGGTCAACCCAGAATGGAATCCGTAGTACATTAAAACTTCGTATCGAATTTAGTTCGGAAAGAAACGTTATTCTATTCTTCCGATAATATCGAAAAAATCTCTCACTTTGTAGAGTTTTCGAATAAAAAGATATTTCTAAAAGTAGCTAACTTGATAAATTATACGTATTCATGCTAATTGGTGTGTACTACTTACACAAAATACGAAAACTAAACCAACCAAGAAATTGGAAAACAGAAAATAAGATTCTTGTTCATGTAAGTTATCTTGATAAGAACGTGATGTTTCTGTTCTCGAGAATTTCAAACAAAATATAAGCGAAACATGGCGAAACAATGCACTCTACAAAGTAAAATTTGACAAAACTCAATTGCATATTTCTCTTATTTTCAACAAGTCTCTTCGGTAATGTTTCATCTTTGGAAATGGGATCCTTCAAGTCCTTTTGCATCTTCAAAGATGTTGTCACTTAGATATGCAAGACAAACTTTAAGCTTATTATCCCTGAATTCGATCCGTGCGACAATAGCTAGTAAAGCAATAAATATTGTGAGAAACATCAAAAAGTTCGCACCTTTGAAAGAAACGGTTCAGAATTTCATCCGAAGTACGTAATACCCCCTCGGTTTGCCACATAACTGAAATGATTCCTGGGTCGTTTGCGGTATGCGCCCGAGTATGTCTCGCGAACAATAGTCCCGCGCGAGTTCGCCTCTAGTTATGCTGGCACATGCCACTAGGCAGCTCTTTAATAGACCATTATTTTCATAGTCTTTCAATACGCATTGCGAGACCAAGGAACGCGGCTGTTTTGTTTTATAAACAAACGCCTTTGTGCGCCCAGCGTGGCTCGGAACTTACTCGATTCACTCGTATCACAGAATTGTAATTCCCTA